CCCGCACCGGGCTGAGCCTGCTGTCGCTGGGGACGTGCCTGGGCCTGGCCTGGTAAGTGGACGTGCTGCCGGGGGCTGGGCATGTCGAAACCCCCGCTCCCCGGACTGCGGCTGGAGCCTTTGCCTCGCCCCGGACCTAGGACGCAGCCCACCTTTCCTTTCTTTCTGGAGATCGTTTCTTGAAATTCGTTGATTCTCCGCACTAGTCGTGCATATCCTTGTCGCACAGCTGGAGTTGAGCTTGAAGTTTGAGAACGAGTCAGCCATTTCTTAAACGCTGCAGATTCGGCCACTCCATCATTTATATTTTGAGACGATCTTGCCCAATTGCGCAGATTGAGCTTGAATTTGGGATCCTGCTGCCTCAGCCTCCCAGAGTGCTGGGATTACGAGCAAGTGCCTCCACACCCGACTATTGGTCATGCTTTATTAAGCATCTACTACACTAAAACTCGTTTACTCTGTTATAAACCGTTACTTCTTGTCCACTCTACGCTGTTCAGGACAAATTTGCCCCACTCCACCCAGAAAGGTCTGATGGATATGTGCGCAATTTAGAAAGAGTTCATTATGATCTCTAAGCAACAAACTAGTAGCAGTAAAGTTCGGAGGATTTCTCAGACTCTGATCCATTGCATGTGTTATGAATATAACGTCTTTTCCTAAGTTACAGATTGAACTACTCTATAAAGCTGCAAAAATCTAAGCACTTTACGATTGAACATTGATAAACTTTATTGAACATTGATAAATTTTAAACCAAGCATATAGTGATGGTTCGGTATGACTGAGAAAATGAATATTAAAAATAATCTTATCCCAGTACTCAGGAGGCTGAGGCAGGAGGATCGCCAAGAGTTCGAGGCCAGCCTGAACTACGTAGTGAGACCCTGTCTCAAAAAACAAACAAACCTATGGGCCAGGAATGTAGCTCAGTGGCAACGTGCCTGCCTTGTAAGCCCAAAGTTTTGAGTTCAATCCCTGCTACCAAAAAAAAACTTATAGTAGACATGAAATGTTTTTTTTTTTGTAACAGCAAAACAGGAGGCATCACAATCCCAGATTTGAAGTTACATTGTAAAGCTACAGTGATAAAAACAGCATGGTATTGGCACAGAAACAAATGTGGATCAGTGGAACAGCATAGAGAAAGTAGAAACAAACCCAGTCAACTCAGACATCTCTGACAAAGGGACCAAAAACAATGGAGGAAATATAGCCTCTTTAATCAATGGTGCTGGGAAATTGGATATCCACATGCAGAAGATTGAGTCTAGACCCATATATTTCACTATGTACTAAGCTAAAAGCCAAAATGGATGAAAGATCTAAATGTTAAAACAATCTCCCAGAAGACAAAATAGGTAAAACTTCTGAAGGCAGAGCCAAAGACTTTCTGACCAGAACCCCAGTGGCACAAGAAATAATATGGAGAACCAACAAGTGGGATCATACCATTAAGCTTCTGCATGTGAAAGGAAACAATCAATAGTGTGAAGAGGAGCCGAATAGGAAAAAAATTTTGCCAGCTATTTTTGGACAAGGACTGAAATCTAGACTATATAAAGAACTAAAAAAAAAAAGACCACACAAAAATAAAAGACCCAATCAATAAATGGGCAACCAAAATGAATAGTCACTTCTCAGAAGTACTTGTGGCCAATAAATACATGAAAAAAATGTGCCATATCACTGGCCATCAGAGAAATGCAAGTTAAAACTACACTGAGGGCCAGGGATTTAACTCAGTGATACCAGGCCTGCCTCACAAGTGCAAGGTCCTGAGTTCGATCTCTGGGGGTGTGGGGGGACCAGACACTACACAAATAACCATCTTTCACCACAAAGAATGGCTATCATGAGAAAAAAAACTAGTAATAACATGCTAGTGAGGATGTGAGGAGAGAGGAAGTCTGCATTCTTGATGGGAATGTAAACTAGTACCATTATGGAGAAAGGTATAGAAATTCCTCAAAGAAAGCCAAGTGTGGTGGTGCACCCCTGTAATCTCAGCATTTGGGAGGTTGAGGCAGGAGGATTACTGTGAGTTTAAGGCCAGCTTGGACTACAGAGTGAGACCCTGTCTCCAGGAAAAAAAAAAAAAGTAAAAATGGACATTCATTTGACCCAGCTATACCCCTTCTGGGTATCTTCCTGAAAGAGTTAAAATTATGATGCATATATCCATATTATAGCAGCACAATTTATAATAGCTAAATTTTGGAAACAGTCTATATGTCCATCAACAGATGAATGGATTAAAAATATATTTACACACAATAAAGTACTGCTCTGCCATAAAGAAGGATAAACTTGAGGCATTTGTAGGTAAATGGATGTACCTGAAGACAGTAATGTTAAGTGAAATAAATCAGATACACAAGTTTAATATGGTGTAGTTTTTCTTATGTGAGAAACCCAAATATAAAGAGTAAAATAAAAAATAGCTTTTAAATCTCTTACCTTTCCATTAAGCTTTGGAATCTTTGTCTTTCAGTAGAAATGAATTTACAAAACATGGTCAGTTAGTGGTTCTTAGCTTGACTAGTACTATAAAAGTTTTTAATAGGCAAGCCACATTCCAGACCAGTTAAATTAATCTCTGTGGGTGTGACACAGTCATCAAATTTGTTAAAGCTGCCCGATAATTCCAGTATGCAGGGAAGCTTTTGAACCACTGTCCATTTGTTGTTTCGCCTCTAAAATACCTGTTTTCTAGATATTGAAAAAATAGTTGAGATCAACAGTCTTGTTCTAAATAAGTCAATGTAGTTATCTTCCAAAATATTTCTTGTGCAGATGTCTTATTACCTCTCTCAATGGGCTATGAATGTGAACAAAGGCAGTGTTATGTTTATTCAGCGTTAAACGAGCAGGCTGTGTGAATGTTGGAAGACACTGACAAAAGTTGTAGCTACCCATACCAGAATTAATGTTCTTACCAGAAGTGGGTATCATAAATAATCCTTTCAAATTCAGATGACTATGGCCTGGGCAGTAGTGATTTTATTTTCTCTTTCCAGGTTTGTATTTCAACAATCGGAAAAGTTTGCAAAGGTGGAAAACCAATACCAGTTATTGAAAATAGAAAACAGTGAGTTCAAAGGACTTGAAAGTAAAATCAGTTTAATTTCAGAAAAGGTAATTATTAATAATTAACTTATCTGGGAAATGTTCTCATTTTACTTCACCTCTGTATTTCTCTACTCCCATCTCAGCAATACTTTCTTCCTGCCCTTTAAACTATTACTGTTGTGCTCTTACTGGTCTTCCTACCTCTTGACATTCTCTCTCTCATCCAATTTAGACTCACTGCATTTTGAAAGAACAAGGTTTTCAGTGTCACGTACCAAGAGCATTGAAAATATGATTGATAGGGCCGGGATTTAGCTCAGCGGTTCGGTGGAATGCCTTGCTAAGCGTGAGGCCCCAAAATTTCTTCACCTTGCACATGCTGATTCCTGCCAGATGCATTATTATTGTTGTAACTCACAAACTCACATCTCTCCAGAGAAGGTCAGCTGTGAACAATAAGGTATAGTGGGGCTACGCCTGCCTCACAAGCTCCAGGTCCTGAGTTCCATCCCCAGTACCAAAAATATATATATAAATAAATAAATAAAAAATAAGGTATCCTGTGGCCTTTTGTCTCCTACCAAGCTATCACTGGGAAATGTGCCTCTTTATTCATCACGAAACTTTTACTAATGTTGTAGGGTAGACAAGGACTTGTGCTTGATGACAGGGTGGGCAAGATGTTATAAACATAGACAAAGACAATTCATAAGTCTTGGAAGCGGCCAGTATGCCTATCAACACACGAATGGGTAAAGTATGGTATTCATACACCACAG